GGAACCGATCAGAGAAAGAATCCAGGGAACGAAGTCCCAGAGTGTCCCACGAGTCGGACAAGGAGTTCCTCTCGAGACTGGAACTGTCCAAGCGCAACGACTCGAACTCCCCCAGCGAGCAGACCTCGGTCAGCTCGAACCACTCGCGGGAGATACAGCAGCACCACCAACAGCAGGCTTCTCTCAATCTTCACAGCGACGTGGACGACGGTCCCTTGTCCACGCACGACATGCAGGTAGCCAGGCATCCGTCCGCGACCGACACGGACAGCGACGAGCCGAAGAAGCACTCGATCTTCGACATCGTCGACGACGAGCCCGCCTACATCAGCATGTACGACAAGGTGAAGGCGCGCTCGACGAAGAACATGCAGAAGCTCGAGGAGGAGAAACGTCAGGTTCGCCTGAAGGACAAGTTCTCGCAGCTGAAGCAGAGTCGAGCGAGGCGGGAGGAGAAGAAGCAGAGCACCTCGTGGGACGGGGACTCGGTGTCCAGCAAAGCGTTGACGGAGGACGAGGCCACCTCGGAATCGGATTCCGCCAGGGCGAAGTCCCTATCGAGGAAGGGGTCCCGGTCGCGAATACACTCCGACACCAGCGAGGAGGAGGAAATCTTCAACAACAAGATCCGAAAAGTGGCGAAGGCCGAGAGATTCTTGGAGAGCGACGTCGACCTCGGGTTCGCGGACACCGAGGAGAAGCACAACCCTCTGGACACCTCGACCGTGGTCAGTAACGTGCACGCGAACGTGAAGGAGGAGCCCCGCACGTCGGACGACGACGAACGAATCTCCGTCGGGTTCCGCGGCAACCATCCCGCCATTGTGGTCAACAACCACGAGAGGGACTCGCGCAAGAAGTCGCACAAGAAGAAGCAGAAACGCCAGAAGAACTCGATGTCCACCGAGGACAGTATAAAGACCGAGTCCTCGGAGAGCATCGAGCACAAGATCAAGTCGAACATCACCAGCGCCGCGGAGTGCCGGACGAATCATACGTCCGAGTCCGTGACCGTTGCCAGCGCTGCGACCTCGGCCACGCCAGCGTTGGAGAACGCCGACGAGAGGATACGGTCGGACAAGAAACAACGGAACAAGAAGGACAAGAGGAGAGACAGAAACGGGGACGACAAGGCGAAGGCCAGGAGAAAGAGGCTGAACAGGCAAGAGGTCAGAGACTCGCAGCGGATGGAGGACATCTTCGGCCCATTGTCGGACGACGTTGACGACGGGCCGTCGAACACGTTCTTCAACAGACTAGCCAACATCCCGTCGGAGAACAACACCTACGCGTCCGACAGCGACGGCGGTCACAGTCCGGTACTGGACGTGGAGCGGGTCCGCAGGAAGACTGAGAAGAAACGTCGACACCAGCCGGAGGACGAGAACAGCGTGGACCTAGCGGAGGCGGGCCGCGAGATCGAGGCGAAGCTGCTGGGGCTGCCGAACTCGCCGAAGTCGGACATCGCGTGCACGGAGAGCAACGACCACGACGTGTTCCGGTTCACCGACGACAACGACAGCGTGGAGCCGTCCACTCCGTCGACGGTGCCGGAGAAGGTGAAGGAGAAGAAAAAGAAAAGGAAGAAGTCGAAGGAGGAGCGCAGCCGGAAGGACTACCATCATCATCACCATCACCACCATCATCACCACGAGAAGAGCGGCGAGCTACCGTACCTCGGCGCTGATCCTAGTCCGCCTCGAGCCAGCAGTCCGATAATCAACAAAACCATGTCGCCCACTTTGCCAACACCCAGAGAGACCACCATACTGAGTCCCATCCCGAAGGTAGCGGCGAACGTGCCCGCGCCGTCGATGACGCCTCCAGTCAGCGGCGGCATCCAGGCTTCGAAGCAGGAGAAGAAGAAGGACAAGTTCATCCCCGGCTTCGGCATAGAGATCGACGAGACCATTCACGAGAACGCTGTGAAGAGCATCTCGGAGCCAGAGGAACGCGAGAACAGCTGCCAGTCTAGAAGTGGCAGGGAGGAGCCGGACGTGACCGTGCCGACGACGCCGCCCACGCAGACGGAGGACAAGCCTAGAGTCGCCATCTCGCAGGAGGAGACCGAGGACGCGGTCGCCGCGTTGCTGGAGGAGACCTTCGGCGGTTCCACCGAGGACTTCTCCTACGAAGGCGAGGAAGAAGACGCGGAGGCGGAGGATGCGGTCGGGCAGCAGCCGGAAGCGCCTCAGGAGGACGTGGAGGAGATGCAGCAAGCGGTGGAAAGCTTGAACGCCTCCGCTGGCGAAGGCGAGACGGACCTGAAGCCGGACACTCCGCAGAGCGAGCACGACCTGCAGATAGACACGGACACGGAGGAGGATCCCAACTACGAAACCTTCGACCTGACGCAACCACCAAAGACACCAGACATTCCATCGTTCTACAAATCGCCCACGAAGACTGTCAACACCATCACGCCGACCCCGGCAGCCGCGGAGAAGACCATCGCGTCCATACCCGCGAAACCGCAGAGTCCGCCAGCGTCCGTGATCGCCCACTCCTGGACCTTGAACGAGAAGCCGCGGGAGGTCGTGAAGACGGTACCCATCGAGCCTGTCGACGCGAATGCTAGCGTGGCCAGTTCCGAAAGCATCGGCGCGCAAGCTCGTCAGGTTTCGTCGCCGCCTCCACAGTACAAACCGCCTGGTCTTGGTCCTTGCAGCGTGCCCATCACCGCGGAGACACCTAGAGTCGCTGCCGCTAGTCCTAGACCACCACCAATTACCGTGCAGCCTTTATACCAGAAGCTTCCTGTATCCCCGCAGTCGCAGATGGTACCTATGCGTCAAGCTTCGCCCAGGATGCAGAACATCTCCACCGTTTGCACGACCACCGCCTCCAGCCTGACTCCTCTGCCGCCGTTAGTCCCGTCGAGGATACCACCGTTAGTCCCGTCACAGCTGTCGCCGAGAATCTCACAACCGTCGTCCCCTAACGGACAATGGTCCCGGAACCCGTCTTTGAGCCCACACATGCCGAACGTTGGCAAACCGTCACCACCGCCGACCAGAATCGCCGTCAGCGTGTCCGTGTCGTCGCTCCGGCCGGAAACGCCCGCTCAGCAGATCTACTCCACCGCGGCCACTCAACAGCCGGTCATCCAACACGCTCCCGGCATGAGGGCGTTGGCGCCCAGCTATCCTAGAGTCGGCTTACCGCCGTTGACACTGAATATTCCGCACCGTCCGTACATGCCTGTGAAGAACTCCAGGGACTTGGCGATAGTAGGGAAATCGGTGATCGAGACTTTGCTCCCGGTGAACCCTAGCGAGCCGTCGCAGCGATTGGACGAGCCAAAATTGTCGCCTGCGGTGATACCAGAGCCGACGAACAAAGCGTCCACGTCGCCGAAAGTTCCTTCGCCCAATCAGCCGCCGACTTACATCCCCGAGACAGCTAAGATCGAGATTAACGCGAGCACGTCTAGTCCTGTGTTCGGTAAACCCACGACGATGCCAGACACTCTGACGTCCAGATCTCAAAAACAAATGCCCATTACCACGGATAACAACCTTCTGTCGCCGAGGCAGAAGCAGGAGATGTCGAATCTTCAGCTTCTGACCACCCACGTTCCCAGATCCTCGACACCCAGTCCGGTGATAGTAGCACACGGCCAGTCGCACCTGGTTCATAAATCTGTCGTTCACAGTATCGGAGCGTCGACCGTTTCGTCGGCTAACCAGTCGCTGATCAAGACTGTCGTGCCGATCGTTCCACAGCAGATCGCGCCCACGATGGCGGTTGCGATGCCCGAGGAAAAATGCGTGATCACGCAGACTTCGTTGCCCCTTGGCAGTCAAAGGCACTCTCCGGTGTCACAGAGCAGTCAGTTACCGAAACCGCACATTCCTCTCGTGTCCACCGTCTCGCAGGCTATTATTACCAGATCTGTGCCGTCCACCGTGTCCTCCATATCCGCGACACCAGTGAACGAGCCGAGCACCCTAGAGTGTCTAGAGTCGCGTTTGCCGACCGAGCCAGAAATAGACTTGGACTCCAACGCTCGGATAGCTCAGACAGCCCAGCCGATGCAGCTCACTCCGCCCATTCAGCCGACGCAGCCGATAGACGTGATAAAGGACGAGCCGGTGGAGGTGAAGCACGAAGAGCTTCCGATGAAGGAAGAATTCCCGAGCAACGAGCCGCCAGCGGAATTCTCCGTGACGCAACCGATCAACGTCGACACGAAGCCGAAGCTGGAGCAGCAGGAGCTGATCAAATCCGAGAAAATCATTCCAAAGACAGAAGCTACCGACGCGCTGACACCGAAGATAGAGATCGAAACACCGATCAAGATGGAGACGGTGAACGAGATCAAAGAAGAAGATATGTCCAAGGAGGAGGAGACGAACGCCGAGGAGGAACCAGCGGAAGACCTACTGAAGGAGCCTAGCACCGATCCACTTGCCATCGATGTCTCGAAGGAAGATCCAGCGGACAGCAAAGAGGACAGCGATTACTGGTCAGCGAAGGAGGTGAACATCGAGAGTGTGATAAAGAAGGTCGACGCTCTGTGCGATGGCGAAGGCAACGATGGGGACGAGGAGACGCAGCACGGCACGAACATCAGCAACGAGAACCAGGAGCCGCCGAAGGCCGAGACCGACTGGTTCAACGCGGACATCAATGAAACCGAGGCGAAGAAGAACTTCGCGGCGAACGACGAGCAGGACGAGGGCGTGGAGACCTGCGAGAGCGAGTCGACGAAGAGTCGCCGCGGCAGGACGAAGACACGACGGGGTGCCAGTCGCGGCGGCGTCACCACCAGGCGTAGCGTCAGGAACACGTCCACCGTGGCGCACAAGCGCGGCGGCAGGACGCCGAGGAGCAGCAAACACCACGTGGAGAAGAACAAACTGCCGGCGGACGTCTACGAGTTCCACGACGACAGCGAGGAGGACAACGCAGGTCGTCCACGACTGATCCTAACGATCAAGTCTCCGGTGCCGAGCCTGACAGGGCCAAACGCGCAGCCAGCGACACCTATAGCAGCGGTGAAAGAGGTCCCGCCGGAGGAGTTCGTCTCGCCAGCCGCGAACACCAGGAAGTCGAAGAGGCTGGCTGAGAGGGACGGCAGCAGGAACACCATCGACGACGTGATCGAGGACGTGGTGCGAGGATCGGCGGCCAACAAGGGCTTGGTCGGCAACACGGGCAACGTGCACGCCACCAGGCGAAGCACCAGGCACAACAACGCGCCGCGGCCGGTGCAGACGCCGCTGCAGCTGGCGGAGCCGCGTAAGTCGCCACGCAGCGTGCGGAAATCGGCGCGTAGAACATCGGAGAACGACGACAGCAGCGAGGAGAAGATCAAGGAGGCGTCGGCTCCGCCGCAGGAGCTGCAGAGTAAGGAGGAAACCGCTCCATCGCGCGCGGAGACGCCGAAGACGGAGGAGACTAGTCAGTCCGCTCCATCGCCGGTGCAGAAACCAGTCTCCCATGAGCCGATGACGCTGATCGACCCAGTCACAGGGATGCTGATACCGATGAGGGAGTCGGAGGAGGGTCAGTACATACCGGTGTCCACTGCTGCGGGTCAAATAGCCGTGAACAGGAACACCTGCGATTCGAGGAGCACACCTGGAATTATCAACGCTAGTCCGACTAGCGAGGCTAGACCGAAACCGTTGTCGCAACCGGAGAATCTTTCTGTTGAAGAACCGAAGAAGGAGCAGATACCAGAGCCAGTGCAGAGCCAGCCGATTCAACCTCAGACCAGCGTGATCACCAAGCCCCAGTCTCCCATTGTCCAAGTGACGTCGACAGCCAGCATGGTACCAGCGGCGGTAACGTCAACGACCGTCGCGGCGATCACCACTACAACGGTGGCTACGCCACAGGCGACGCTAGTTTGCACGTCGCAGTCCAAACCTACGAGTCTCAAGGCTCATGTTTTGAACGCCAGCAAACTAGCGACTCCCGTGCAACA